GATAAGTTTAACTTATACTGTCATGAAAAAACCATTTAAATCCAGGTAATATATTGGTAAAATAATATGTAATAATAACATACGTATAATGTCTATATATACATACATACATTTATTTATTTATTTATTTATTAACATCTTCAGAGATTTGTCAATGGTGGAAATTTTTGAACGTAGCAAAAACGGAACGATTTATTATGCATCTACATCGGTCGAAACTCTAAAAACACCATCTTTTGGTGTTGGAAACCGAGAGAAATTAAACCTCGGTGGCTGGATACTTAAGTCCATTTCTGATTCACCACTCTGTACAAAAATATTATATGTTATTCAAATGAAAGGATGGGTACCTGTCAACATGTTTAAAGTACATCTTTCTAAGCGGCCTCTTGTAATTAATACTGTCAAGGAATTTTTACAAAATCAACATAAAAACCCCGGTTTCACACCTCCTCCTCGAGGTTCCAGTCTTCAACATTCAAAGCAAGCAAGTAACTTCAATAATAATAATGTGCCAGAAAAGAATAAACATATAAGATATAGTTTCCTTGGAGATATAAAAGAAGATGAGGATGATTCGTCACAAACAATTCCAGATTTTCCTATTCCACCAAAAAGAGATATAACATCTAAACTTTCTTCTGAAAAACCAATAATAATATCTAAACCTGAATCTCAAGACCCTTCAAAGTTAATCAAAAAACCAGTAACATCACATGATTATTATAATAATGCAAAAAAAGCTCTTGAATTGTTAAAGCTCTTGGTTAATAATTGGGATGGTTGGGGTCTTTATGCAGAGTCTAAAGGTGCTAAGATTTATCAAAAGGATAGTGGAAAACCAATGCCATATTTGCGTGGAGATGTTACAATTTATGGTGGATTTTACCCTACTGATATTCTTTCATACATTAATAATTTAGATTCGCGAAAATTGTGTGAGTAACTTTTGTGCATATCTATTATAAAAAGTTGATACCGAAACCTCATTATATCTCAATATATAGGGGACGGTCGATATGAAGATGGTTCTATCATAGAACGTTATAGTTATGATAATGTGTTAACAAGAGTAGCAATGAAGGGTACTTTCCCTTTAAGGTAAATTTTTAATATGTCACGTAATTAAATCTCCTTACGTATCATATATGTATCTGAGTTTAGTAAATAACAATTAAACTTCAAAGTTACTTAATTATTCACGCATTATACTTATTTACAGTGGCCGTGACTTTATTGCCATTAGCATAACTGAACGTGATCCGGCTACTGGTACAATTTGGGTTGCCAGCACATCAATAGTAGACCCAAGAGTTCCAGAGAGCAAAAAATATGTTAGAGCCAATTTAATTATTGCTGGATGGGTCTTACGTCCAAATTTCGATGGTGAAAAAATAGTTAGCGTTGATGTCAAATATATTGTTGACATTGACCTCAAAATTAATTCGGTCCCACAACCAATTCGTAAGCTGTTGTCAATGCAAGTACCATTGTGTATTGCTAATATTGATGATTCATTACAAAGAATAGGGTTCCCACCATATATCATAAGCGCCTCCGGATTGATAAAAAATGTCGAGTTTAATATAAAGACATTCCAATATGATGTTACAATATCAATTGATGGGGGTACAATTGTAGAACTTCGAATGTCAAAAAAAATGTACCCTAATGGTTTTGATATTTCAGCTCAACCCGAAAATGCAAAAGCTGAATTACTTAATGGCGGTGAAGTTATTCGTATTACCGTTCAAAATGGCACGGAGACATTACATATCAAGGTCAAGAAAAATACCAAAGGAACTCAAAATACATTTAGCAGCAAAAAATTAGTGACTTTCGAAGAAATCGATCCTAGTTTGACATCATGTTTGAAAAA